CCATTCAGCAGATCTAAAACAATAACTGTGAGATTAAGCAAAAAAATTAAATTCTCTTTATGGTACTCTGAGAAAAACTAGGTTGAAACTGAAAGATCCATACACAAATGTTAGCTTTAGGGAAAAAATAATAAAACAAAGACACACTGGTACCACAAAATGGATTTTCTTCTCAAATTAAAATGCTTATACCAATTAAATTATATCCTGTAATCATTAAAATGTCAGAAATTGAACTCAGAAATAGATGAATATGATATGAAGGCTCCTGATAGGAAAATATCCTGAGTTAAATTTGCCTCAACATTTCAAAAAATTTAAGAAACTCTTAGAGTCTGTCACAACACATTAGCACTTGCTATTAAAGTACTATGTACATTTTCCATTCCTTGAAAAGAAATAAATCAAAAACAAATTTCATCTTAAGTAATCAATGGAGTCCTTTATTTAAAGCACCGTAGATGAAAAAAGTTACTGTTTGATTTATTTGAGTGTTTGCTTTGGTTTTCTTCAAAAGACTTTTATCCCCTTGTTAGCTAATTTTAAGATTCCAATATTCACAGCATGTCATAATTAAACATCTCCTAGGAAGTGCACAGTCTGATTAGCACATTAACTCAGGCATAAACCAGCCGTGACCATGTTGCCTCCAGGCCTGGGTCAAACTAGTCTGGGAAAAAACAATTCTGGTGAAAATTCCTACTAAGACATATTAAGTCCCAAGACTATTTTATCTTCCATCATTTAAGATCTTCTTTTCCCTAGCAGTTCTTATGTAATTGTTTAACCCTTAACTGTGGTCTGAGAACAGTCACTTAGCCTATTAGGAATAAAAATGATAACTGTAGTTCTGAGGATTAAATAATTTTAGCATTTTTCTCAAAGGCTCCCACCTCCCAGAAAGCAAATAAGATTAAGTCAGAAATATGCTTACAGTTATACACCAATTACTAGAGCCCACAAGCTCCCATTCAAAATTAACTCCTGTTCAGGAAAGGAGGAGTCAGAGGACTACCCATATCCTGACTTCTTTTTATGTGGCTGATTGGTGGCTAGTTGTTTGCCTTAAAGCAAAATGATGAATGCATTTGGCCATGAGGTAATAAAATCTCCCCATGGCCAGCATGTGTACTGTCCAAAATGGTAGCCACTCACCATGTGTGGCTACTGAGCATGTGAGATGTGTCCCAAGCCACCAAGGAACTGGATTTTTACGTTCGTTAATCTTACTAATTTAAATGGAAAAAACTGATATTTACTTATGTCAGTGGAAAATCTTTATATCTGGAACAACTTGGATATCTTACAGATGAAAGAGTGAATCCACTTTTTCATCTATAAAAATTTTATGAAACTTAAAGACAGACCAAGTAATTCTAATGAAAATTCAGTGGCTGAGTTGTGATGTACATAAGTGGAAAATATACACTATATTTCAAAGAATAGGCAAAAATAATGTAAAATATCTCATTAATAATCTTTAAAAGTACTGACCAACCATGTTGAATGCTTCAATCTATTACAATACCTTGGATATATTATTTTAAATAAAATATATTAAAGTTAATGCCACTGGTTCTTACTCTTTTGAAGTACTACCGGGAAATTTTAAGTTTAATAATATGAGTCACATTATATATTTTAAGTTATATATAATTTTAAGTTATATATCTGTCAGGCACAGCACTGATAAAGACCAATACTAACCAGTGACATGACTGAGATGGGCCAGGGAAGTGGTTTAGAAAATCTGTGCAGTATGGAAAAAAAAAGCAAAAGGCCAGATAGCACTGCATTTAAATCCTAACTTTGACACTGACCATCCAAACGGATTTGAGCAGCCATTCATTCAGATTCCTCAGCCTATACTTCCCCAGGTGCAAAGGGGAAGGATAGTTTCCTAGTTAAACACAACATTTGTAAAGTGACTAGTATACCATCAGTTTAAATAAACAGCCAAATAAATTGTTTTTCAATAGAAACCAGAGATTTTTAGACTACTGCGAATGATTTACTGCTTCTCAATGTCTAGGTCCTCCTGCAAATGAGCTACATCCTGCGGACACTTTCTTCCTGTAATATTAGTCCAAGTTTATTATTACCTTACATTTTACAGATGAATAATGACAACCTGAGACTAAATGCTGTTATCAAAATGTTCAACAAATGGAAGCTTTGTTTCCCTAGTGTTTTAAAGCGGTAGCAATCAAGTTCATTTCCAGAGATACCATCATGATTTTTATGAACTTAGAATTTACCTAAAAGAGACTTACCAGAATACCTATGTCCATTTCAGGATTTCTATCATGGTGGGACCATCTTCTTGTGAATGTTTGGTAGGCTCTAAGAAAAACTGCTCTAAGGCATAAAAGTTCATACTATGCAGTTATTTAATATGTAAAATGTGGGAGTCTACAATATTTATTTTAAAAATTAATTATATCTCATTGTTCTGCTATATTTCTTTAAATACAAAAAAATGCTTGCAAATTCTTTTACTATGAAACAGGACCACAATCATCAGAAGATTAGGAAGGATAAGGCTAACACAAATAAAATTAAATACTCCTTCATTAAGCAAATAGTCAAATTATAGATAGAATTCCTTTTTCACTAAAATGACAGATATCTATTCCAAATGGTGTAGATAAACTGATGACTAAAAAATTCATATAAGTGATTAATGAAAAGACATGTGGAAGTCATCTTTCTTCTTTAGTCATGATGTCAAGAAGAAAAGCTGTCCTCTTCCACAGTTATTCTTCATAAAATATGGACTCCTAACTACAAGGTTAAGGCTCGACTAACTGTGATGATTCTTATGTTTCTATGAAAGCTAATTTACAATGACCCTGCTTTTCTTCAATCTGCTTCTTGCACATTTTACTCATAGTCTTCCATTTATTCCTTTTATTATTTTTTTGTCTTCATTCATCTGATCAATATTTATTGATCCCCTGCTTAATGCCAGGCCTATATTCTGTGGGCCTCACCACTGAACCTCACTAGCCTATCATTTTATTCAAACAAAACCACTAAAGTGGGATGATGTAGAGAGAGGTGAAACATATAATTTAATTAGTTGGGTTGTACACATGTGTGTGTGTGTATGTATTCTTCATATTTGACTTGCCACCAAAATATATTTGAAGTTGTTACACAGCATCCAAACTAGTAAAAAATTAACTTGTTGTTTTCCAACATAATTATTTTTTAAGTAAATTATAATTTTAGTTTATAATATGTGATAAAGCTGAAATTCCAAGTTCAATTATGTCTTTGCAAGTTGTCTAGTCTTAGATTTTATATTATTACATCTACGTCCTGATCAAAATTCACCATTTTCCAAGGCAAAGTTTGTCATGGTAACTCTCAAGAGTTTTCTCCAAGGTGTTCATCAAGTAATATAATGAATAGGTCAGATCTATGTTGCACTGGAAAACCTCCTGTTTGCTAATTTACACCCAAGGGGGATTTCTAGGAAACAAAGTAACATGATAGACCAGTAAACTTTCATGCATTTCTTAGAGAAAAAAAAATTTAACTTGCTTATTGAATTACAAGTATTTATTTGCTGGAGCTTCCATTAGATTATAAGCAACTTGAAGACAGAGGGGAGAAGTTACTCTTTATATGCTCATTTGAAAAGTAAAGGTTTCATGACAGTTTTCTGTATGGCTGAATGGAGGGTTGGTAGGATGAAAGAAAGAAATGTTCAGATTTAGGAATTGAATCTTTGCAACTATTTTTATCAATCCATTTAAAATACAGATGTTAGGTGATGTAGGCTCCTCAAATCGTAACAAATGTACCACTCTGGTGGGTGATATTGATCATGGGAGAGGCTACGCATGTGTGGGGATAGGAGAACAAACAGGAAATCTGTGCCTTCCCCTCAATTTTACTGTGAACTCTAAATAGCTCTAAAACAAATCTTTTAAAAAGTTATTAAACTTTAAAAATACCAACTGTGTGAACAACAGATAATGAAAACAGTGCTTTACTCTATAAAATAAAATATAAATGAATTATTTCAACCTCAATTTATCACAATCTTAATATGTGTCAAGCACTACTATAAAAGCTGAGGTTTAAAGAGAAATAAGATTTTAACTATAAAAACAGGAAATTGAAGACTGGTTCCACTGAATTCATCTGAACTAATCCGTAATTGTAAACATTCATTAAACCATGAAAAAGAAAACGATGCACCTCCTATTCAGAATGCATTTTCTTCTCCAATGAAAAGGAATAACAAAATCTGCTTTTTCGTATGCCCTAAGATTTTTCAATGTCTTATACTTGTTGTTTGTTTCTTAGAAAAAGCTATCTCCTTATACAAAGTACGATGTGCTCAGTGATACCACTTTTGTTCAGGAGACAAGTAGGAAGGGGAAGGAGAGGAAGAATGAAAGCAGAAACATCATGGAATACAAAAAAAAAAAAAAAAAAATGACATATGAGACAAATCAGAGCAAAATTTTGCACAATATCGTTCTCCTATTAGACCAGAACACCGGAATAATCAGCCACTAACCTAGGGCAACCATTTGAGAAATGCCCAAGAATGAATAACTGTCTTAGATACATACTGTGTGAGAACTGACAGTAAAAGGAAGCAGTGCAGAAATTCTCTGGATAAGCTGATGGGCAAGCTGAAGACCTGATTAGTCAGAATGAAAAGCCTGTCATCGGTTGGTCCCTTAAGTGAAGGAGACCCTTCAGGGCACTTTGCAGCTGGCAAGAAGTAACAACTTTTCCCAGGTATTACTAGCGTAACAGTTCTCTTTATAAGATTATTTTGGCTCTTAAAAGAGTCATCATTGTAACTTCCACGAGTGTAAATGATAAATCATTAAAATTGACCACTTTGGAGACTAACAAACGCTCCTGAACAACCCACCGAATGTTTTTTCAATAAATAGAAAAACTGCCCAAGTCTTGTAGCATCGTCTGCCCACCTTATAGCCACTCCACCAGGTCACCCAAGGCCCACTTACCCCCAGCATCTGGTGGAGGTAGTGATACTCTGGCCCTTGGTTATACAGCAGAAAGGTTTTCCAGAAAAGCAGGACATTCAGGGAGAGCCAGATAAGCTAAATCATATGGAGAAAGAGAAAAAAGAATTAAAAGTAAGTACTACCCGATGAATGGAAACCTCAAATACATTCGTCGGACACAATACACAATTGAGGTTCAATGGAACCTCAATTAGTCGTTGCAAAAAGCTTTCTCAATTGACCAGCAAGCTGCAAAGCACTCAAGAGGTAAACGTATCTGACCTCACTCAGCCCCGGTACACCTAAGATTAAGTATTTGGGCTGCAACAGGTATCCTAAAGATCGCAGATATCCCCTGGAGGACAAAACAAGACTAAATGATGAGTGACATCACCAAGTCCCGAGCATTGTATGCTTAAGCTTTAAAAATATCCACTGAATGAAGAATAGATAATAAAGAAGAGGGCTTTGCTGTATAAAATAAAATTCGACAGAAACAATCTGGGAAAAGAGCAAAGGGGGAGGGGGTTGGTGGTGAAGATGTTTAAGAGGTTAAAGAAAAAGCTATGTTAACTAACTGGGATCTACCTTTCTCCGCATCCACTCTCGCATCAAAGTGTAGGCAAGTTCCCGAGGGCTTGGAGGAAGGGAGGGAGGAGATGGTTATTATGTCCAGGTATTCCCGCAGAAAGTTTGTGTTAGTGGAGGATGTTTTGTACTAAAGGCAAAACTTCCAGCTTCCCACCCGCGCTCGCTCAGAGAATGAATCAAGATCGCTGCCCCAGAAACAAGACGCCGGGAGACCCTCGCCCGCCATCCTACCAGGCAGAGGTGTTTAACCCCTTCGTTGGCCAGCCAGCTCCTCCAGGACACGGCCATGCCGCCGGCCCGCGCGCCGCGCTCTCACCCCGCCGGCCGACAAGCAGCGGCGACCGCGGGCGCAGCGGCTCCAGCGGTGCGGCCCGCGGGGGGGGCCGGGGGACCGGGAGGGGACGGAGGGTCAAAGACCGAGTGGGATCCCGGGGCCGGCGCCGCGCCAGCCCGGGCGGGGTCTGCGCCCGGAGCCGGCTCTTCCGGGCGCCGCGGCCGCGGCCGGCGCGGGGTCTGCGCGGCGCCCCTGGCGGCCTGGACCCGCGCTCCGAGCGCGCGCTCCCCGCCGCGCCCGCCCTTTGTCTGCGGAGAGCCTGTTGTTGTGGCCGCCGCCGCGCGGGATGTCCCGGTCTGGGATCCGGGGGGCGGCTCCGCAGCCTCCAGCGGCTGGCCCCGCTTGGAAAGACAGCAGGATGCGGAGGAGGGTGCTCAGAGTGGGGACCTGCGCCGCCCTTGGACACAGGCACACACACAGACACACGCGCGCACACATACACCGGCCTGCCCCACTTCAAAAGACACAGCAAGATGTGGAGGACTGTGCCAAGACAGAGCAGGGACCTGCACCGCCCTTGGACTCACGCGCGCGCGCGCACACACACACACACACCGGCCTGCCCCACTTGGAAAGACACACCAAGATGTGGAGGATGGTGCTCAGAGTGGGGACCTTCACCGCCCCTTGGACACAGAGACACACACACAAATACACACACACACACACACACACCGGTCTGGCACACTTGGAAAGACAGCAAGATGTGGAGGATGGTGCTCAGACAGAGTGGGGACCTGCGCCACCCTTTGGACTCTCTCTCTCTCTCTCTCTCACACACACACACACACACACACACACACACACACACACACCGGCCTGCCCCACTTGGAAAAACACACCAAGATGTATAGAATGGTGCTGAGTGGGGGACCTTCGCTGCCCCTTGGACACACACACACACACCCCTACTCCTTTTGACTGGTTGGACCTTCGCCGCCCCTTGGACTCACAAACACACACACACACACACACACCGACTGGCCCCACTTGGAAAGACAGCAAGATGTGGAGGATGGTACTCAGGCAGAGTGGGGACCTGCGCCGCCCTTGGACTCACACACACACAAATACACGAAGACACAAACACACCCCTATGCCTTTTGACTGGTTGGACCTTCGCCGCCCCTTGGACACACACACACAGAGACCCCTACTCCTTTTGACTGGTTGGACCTTCGCCGCCCCTTGGACTCACACACACACACACACACCTGCTCCTTTTGACTGCTCGTCCCCCCACCCCCTCAGAAGTCCCTCTCTGAGGCACCGGCGGAAACCCGAGCCGGAAGTAGCCCCCGTCCGCCCGCGTCCCCCGCCCAGCCCGCCCTCAGCGCCACAGCCCTGACCTCAGCCTCTCTCCTCGCCCTTCCGCCCCCATCCCTAAACACCTACGAAGAGCTTTAGAAGAACTTCTGAGTCAAGAGTCCGGGGAGTTAATGGTTAAAACTGACGGAATTTTCAGGGGCTTTTAGGGAAGCTCCGATTCACTCTATTCAGTGCGCTTTACTACCTGCTATCAGAGTCTGTTAAGGAATAAGAATCCCGTCAGACTTGTACCAGAGGCCCGGTGAAGGGTAATTAAAGTATGGAATTTTCCCAGGCTACCTATCCTACACTACAGCTTATCAGTATTAGGGAAGAAACAAAAAATCATGCACGTGAAAGAATGTCCGATGAAAGTAAGTGTTGGAGAAAGGTCTGTTATATCAGGAACTTTCTCACCTCTAGCCACTAGTGGCAGAAAAAGTAAACCACTAGCAGCCTAATCTCATGGCCCTCAAGCTATCTTTCTCTCTCTTTTTTTTAAGCGAAATACATTTTACAAACATGCAATAATATATAATTGGAACTAAAAATTCCACAAAAATCATAATTTCTTTACCTCATGGAATGTACTTATCTCAATTAATTTTGTGAACTGATTAATGACTGTAATCCTCAGTTCAAAAAACAAATCTGTATCAAATCCCAGTTATAATTCACAAAGTGCTCTAATAGTCTTGTCATCTCTTTTAACATATAACTTTACTGTTTTATGCATGATCTAATCCTGAAAACTGCCTCAAATCTTTTTGGAGCTAGGGAGCACATTATTCATAAATAACAGCCAGTTTTTATCGACCATGTGATACCTGAAGGACCAGAATACGAGCGCAGGGAGAACCCAAGGAGCGTCACCAGTGGAGGCAGGTTGAATTCTGAGACACATCAGTATTCCTCAAATTTCACCCTTAAGAAGCCATCTTCCAGCCTCAATTTCAACAGATGGGCGGTGAGGAGATTCTGGCAAAATGAGCTGGTTCTTGTCATGAGTTGAGAGAAGTGAAGCAATTGAAGAACAATAGAATAAAAGACAATTTTTATAAATATTTAACTACTTCCAGAAAAAAATAAATGACATAAAATAATGGAGCCAGCTCTCTCTATGTACTTACTGTGTCAGCCACTGTCCTGGGTACTTCATGTACAAAATCTCACTTCATTCTCGGAGCTCTCCATGTGGACATGAGCCGTCTCACTTCTGAGCTGAGGAAACTGAAGCAGAGACATTACTTCGCCAACAAAGGTTCGTCTGGTCAAGGCTGTGGTTTTTCCAGTAGTCTTGTATGGATGTGAGAGTTGGACTATAAAGAAAGCTGAGTGCCGAAGAATTGATGCCTTTGAACTGTGGTGTTGGAGAAGACTCTTGAGAGTCCCTTGGACTGCAAGGAGATCCAGCCAGTCCATCCTAAAGGAGATCAGTCCTGGCTGTTCATTGGAAGGACTGATGTTGAAGCTGGAACTCCAATAGTTTGGCCACCTCATGCGAAGAGTGGACTCATTGGAAAAGACCCTGATGCTGGGAGGGATTGGGGGTAGGAAGAGAAGGGGACAACAGGATGAGATGGCTGGATGGCATCACCGACTTGATGGACATGAGTTTGAGTAAACTCTGGAGTTGGTGATGGACAGGGAGGCCTGGCGTGCTGCATTTCATGGGGTCGCAAAGAGTTGGACACGACTGAGCGACTGAACTGAACTGAAGCTAAAATAGATTAAGAAATTTGCCTGAGGGAGAGGGGTAAATGAGCAGACTTGGTTAAAAGATACAAACTTCCAGTTATAAGATGGATAGTTTTTTGAGATCTAATACGCAGCCATGGTGATGGTAATTAACCACACTTTGTTACATACTTGAAAATTGCTTAGAGAATAGATCTTGAATGTTCTCTTAATACACACAAAAAAGGTAGTTATGTGAGGTGATGGAGGTGTTAAGTAAGGCTTGGATGATAATCATTTCCCTATATATAATTGGGTCAAATCAACCTGATGTATGCTTTAAACATAGACAAAGTTACATGTCAATTATATCTCAACAAAGCATTATGTTAACTGGAAGAGTAAGAACCTCACAATAAAGATGAAAAAGAGAGAGAGAGAGAGAGAAGAGAAACCTGTATGAAATGAAAAAAAAAACAGGGTTTTACTTACAGTTCCAAAAAGCCCATAATCAGATACTTTTGTGAAACTCTCTTGTACCATGATAGAATGCTCTACAAACATTGATTATTATATTTATCACTATTATTTTATAGGAGCTCTGTAAAAGGGGATTAGGTCCTAACTGCTTCTGTTGCCTTACAAGGAAATGACACTGCAAGCTATCTCCAAGGAACAGAGCTAGATCTATGTACAAGAAGGTACTCTCATGAATGAGGTTCTTTTCAATATAATTTTCTCTAGGCCATATTGTTTAGTGCAAGTAGATTGTCTTTCCCAGGGTAAGGAAGACTGTCCTTGAAAATAATGAAGAGAGAATCCTATAGCTGTATCAGTATTCTAAAAATCATAATTTAAAAAATCACACGTTTACCTGGAAAAAAACTTTACAGGAAAAAATATTAAATGAAAATACCTTTGCTCTTGGCTGAAATAATAGTAAAATAGTAGTGATCATCCTACACTGATTATAAATTCTATTTGTCAGTTAGAGATGTTCTTGATCTATTATTTATTACTTAAATACAGAAGCTTTCTTTTTTGGTAGACAGCATCCCTCAAAATATGAAATCCACTGAAAAAAACTGATAAAAGTTTTCCCTTTCGGTCTGCTTTACCAGTTAGCTCCCTTATGTGTCGGCTCAAAGGCATACCTTTGCCATGAAGCTTTCCCTGGCCCACCCTGCCTCTATGTTCACACAGATGCATCCTGTAGTCTATGCATTCTTCAGTGTGTTTATAATACTCCAGACATGTGATCATTAGTCCATTTTCCACATATTATTTTAGTTGTGTGTGTGTGTGTGTGTGTGTGTGTGTGTGTGTGTCTATTTCCCTTCATCAACTGACCTCTTTAAGGGCAGAGATCTTGTTTATTTCAGGACTTTGGACAAAGATTGTCATATAGCCAGAACTTCAGAATGCTTGATAAATGAATAGCATTAATAGTTAAGCATATTATCCTTATTTCTGTGGCTCCCTCAAACTCCAGTTTCTCCAGTAATGAAAGAAAAGTTTCTGCTTATGTGCTCAGTCGTTCAGTCATGTTTGACTCTTTGCAACCTCATGGACATTAGCCCAACAGACTCTTGTGTCCATGGAATTTTTCAGGCAAGAACCCTGGAGCAGGTTGTCATATCCTCTCCCAAGGGGCCTTCCCGACACAGGGATAGAACCTGGGTCTCCTATGTTTCCTGTATTGGCAGGTAGATTCTTTACCGCTGTGCCACCTGGGAAGCCCCCATACCAATATTTGATCTTAGCCCAAAGGCCATTTCTGATTAGCTTGATAATTATCATCAGAAAATAACTAGTGGGGAAAGGACTCTTCCTATGGGTGTCACATATACCACAATCATAGGATATGCGGTTGGGACCAGTGGGCACCTATATTAGCTTCCTGGGGTTGTGGTAACAAACTGTCACAAATTTAGTGGATTTGGACAATAGAAATTTATTCTCTCACAGT